CATGCTCGGTGCAGACGCGAGGATTGGAAACTGGAGAAAGGCAGGCAGCGTTCCGCAGGGAAGCCTGGCTTTTACCATGAACACCAGTGGGCTGTGGAACTTTAGGGGATCTGTGGCCTGAACAAATGGTTGCTTGGGGGCTGCGGGATGGAAAAGCTTGAAGATACATGGCTATAAAGTGGGTGGAGCAAAGGAGCAAGCCAGATGCGAAGCAAGACTAAGAAGGGGAGAGACAGGGCAGCTGTTAGTGGGGACCAGAGGGGTACGGGCGTGGCTTTGCTTTTATCTGAAGAGAGAGCGCGTATGCCCAGGAGGAGTATATATCAGAGCGTGTGAACCCCAGAGGAGTACACAGTCTGATGTGTACTTAGGAGGAAAGGCTCTTAGAGGACTGGAGTGATCACCACAGAGCATCGGTGGTGGATGAAGCAAGTCCTTCGGCACTCAGGGCCCAGAGATGAATGGAAAGAGCCCCATCTTCATGGAGATTATGAGGCAGAATCTACTGAAGAGAAGACGTAGGGAACCTCAGACATTTTGGGCCTTGGTGAGAGCCAAGGGAGAGGTGGGCATAGGCCAGGCAGGGTAAAATCCAGGGAAGTCTGCTTGGGCAGCACAGGAACAAGCCGATGAGCCAGCCAAAAGGAGATCACAACGCCAGGGATTCCCAAGCCGAGAGGACCACCAGTGGCTGGGATGTGGAGATGGAGGACCTAAGTTGTATGGGCTCTTTGGACTGAAATCCTCCTGTAATTAATGAAACAGTACTCCCCAGGATGCACCTGCGTGGGAGGGTGTCTGGTTTCAGCATCAGCCCTTCCAAGAGCAGCTGCTGGGACTGTGTAGCCAGAACTGCTGGGGAACAGGTGTCCCTGTCACTCCTTGTTCCTGGGTGCATGGGCAGCTCCTGAGAGCTTGGGTTCTGAAAAAAGAGAACATCCCTCAGCTATACTGGAAGTCTGAGGCTAGACTGGGATGCAGGAGACCTTGTATCAGAAAATGTCAAATTTTAAAATAATTTTAAAGGTAGAATGTGGGGGAGCAGGGGTACCATCAGAGATCTGATGTGCCCTTTACCTTACGGTTCAATCTTGCAGAATTATAGAACAATTTCAAAGCCCCGAATTTGATGCTGGCACAATGCATGTGTGTAGCCAGCACACAGAACTATCACTTACAGCAAATGTGCCCCTCACGCTACAGCTGTGCTATGTACTCCCTCCCTCCCATCCCATCCCTAACCCTCCACCACTATTCTGTCTTCTCTTTCCAATTTTGTCATTTTTAAGATTGTTGTGCAAATATTCCTTTAAATTGCTGAGGAATATGTTATGGTGTGAGTGTCAACTGTTTGGCCACTGGACTTTTGAGGGTCATCTTGGTTGTTCACAGTTTGTACGGTTACTAATATAGCTAGTGCCAGACTTGGTGGTCCACTCCTTTAGTCCCCGCACTCGAGAGGCGTGGGCAGGGGCATCTCTAAGATCTAGGACAGCTTGATCTACATAGCAAGTTCCAGGCCACCTACTGCTGTCTACATATGTGTGTATGTGTGTGTGTATCTGTTATGTCATATGCATTTTTGAACAGATGATTATGTGCGCATGAGCTTCCATCCCTCTGAGGTGAATATCCAGGAGTATAGTTGCTGGATCATAGAGTGAGTATATGTTTAATTTTCAAAAAAACTACCAAACTATTTCTAGAGTGACTGTAACATGTTATGTTTCAGCCATTAATGTGAGAGACCAGGTTTCTCCCATATTTGCCAGCCTTTGATTTAATTAAAATAAAAGTTTTTATTTTAATTTTTCTAGCAGGAATGTAATAACGTCCCAGTATGGTTTTAATTTGCATTTACCCAGTGGCCAATGACGTTGAATTGATGAAGACAAATATGTTTTCATGTGTTTATTTTTTTTTCATAATAAATTCTTCACACCTTTGGTCCATTTTCTAATGGGATTGTTGTCTTTGTAAGATTTGTTTTTACTTTATTTTATGTGTATGGGAGTTTTGTTTGCATCTGTGTCTGTGCACCATGTGTATGTCTAGTGTCTAAGGAGGCCATAAGAGGGTGTCAGATCCCCTGGAACTGGAGTAACAGATGGTTGTGAGCTGTCATGTGGAGCTGGGAATCGAACCCAGGTCCTGTAGAAAAGCAGACGAGCATAGTCCTGGCTGTCCTGGAACTCACTATGTAGACAAGGGTGGTCTTGAACTTGCAGAGACCCACCTGCCTCTGCCTCCCAAATGCTGGGATAGAAGGAGTATGCCACTGCACCTGACTTCATAGCAGCCAGTGCTCTTAGCTGGCGAGCCATCATTCTAGCCTGTGATTGTTTTCTTAATGTAGTTTGTAGGTGCTTTTTTTTTTTTTTTTTTTTGGTTTTTCGAGACAGGGTTTCTCTGTGGCTTTGGAGCCTGTCCTGGAACTAGCTCTGTAGACCAGGCTGGTCTCGAACTCACAGAGATCCGCCTGCCTCTGCCTCCCGAGTGCTGGGATTAAAGGCGTGCGCCACCATCGCCCGGTTGTAGGTGCTTTGTCTTGTCTTCTTTGAGATAGGCTCTTACTGTGTAGCCAGACTGGCCTTGAACTTGCTATATAGCCCAACTGGACCTCAGGAGCAGCTGCTGCCTTTGTCTCCTGAGTGCTGGGGTTACAAGTGTGTATCAGCTACAAGTGCTTTCTCCAGAATCATTCGAAGCACTAACTGTCAGGTGTTAATTCCAAGCCCATCATTGCTTCAACATGGATGTGGGCCCAATCTTTCATTGGTCAACACAGTCATGCCCCAGCCCCAAATCACAGTGGAGACAGTTTTTCTGACTTCCCCCTTCTCAGCCGTTTCCTGAGTCTTGCACAGTGCTTACACCCCCAGAGCAGCCTGGGACTGTGTCTAAGCCTCTTCCTGACCTCATGATGCTTTGTGAGTTGCATGCATGCTTCAGGAATTAGATGCTTTCCCTGGACCCACATGTACTATGAAGTAAAATATAAAAACTAGGTAGTTCCTGTGCCCTCATCCCAACCCCCGCCTCTACTGCAGCAACCCGTGTGATGTGTCTCTTATCCTGAGTAAACAGAAAAGAGGATGTGAGGGTTTGAATGAAAATGCCTCCCATAGGCTCATATATTTGAATGCTTGGTCCCTAGTTGGTGGAACTGTTTGGGAAGGCTTAGGAGGTGTGGCCTCCTTGGAGGAAGTGTGTCATGGGGGTAGCTTTTGCTGTTTCAAAAGCCCACGTCATTCCCAGTTAGCTCCCTCTGCCTCTTTCTTGTGGATAAGGATGTGAACTCTCAGCTACTGCTCTGGTACCATGCCTGCCAAGATCATGCCGTGTTCCCCACCAGTATGGTCATGGACTCACCCTCTGGGTCTGCAAGCTTCCATAAGTTCTTTCTTCTATAAGTTGTCTTGGTCATGGTGCCTTATCACAGCAATAAAAGAAGTAACTAAGACAGAAGTGAACCCTGGAAACATGGCCCTCTGAAAATCATGGTTGCCTTTAAACATCACCAGGCAAGGAACTATCCAAGCGTGGGAGAGACGGCCTCAGTGGGGACTATCAGGTGTACTGCCCACCAGGAGAGTAGCCCTCGCTGGGGCATCAGCAGCTCTGGGCATTTATTTTTAACTGCCACATCATAACGTAAATGCTTGTCCTTTGATAAGGGCACTGGCTTATTCTGAACTCTGGTCAGAGAGATTACCGGAAGAGCCCAGGAGTGGCATGAAGCGAAAGCCTGGGCCAGAGCTGCCAGCTGAGATACCCTTGACAGAGCAAGCGGTTGTTCTGAGCCGCGTGCACTGTTTGCGTCACCTGGGCATGAGCTACCGGCCGCGGAATTTAAGGAATGGATTGTTCTCTTGGAGTCACCCCATATCCCCGAATAATAGGAACACACATTCTTGGTTTTCTGTGAGAGCTAATGAGGACGGCTCTGCCCAGCTGAACAAAAGCAAGGCGCAGAGCAGCTGCCTGCCCACCCGCTGACCTGCCTTTCTTTCCCTGCTTCCTCCTTCTCCTGTTCTCCTTTAACCCTAGTGAAGAAAGAAGGGGACAGAGAACAGAGAAAAGATAGGCCTACGCTCCAGGGGTCATTAGAAGTGGGACACCACAGTTGGAGGATAAATATGAAGTGTGCAGATGCAGCAGGCTAGGAGTCTCACGCCCCACCCCTGTCCCTTCCTCCCTCCCTTTCTTATCTTCTTTTCCTTTAGACTGGGTCTGTGTATCCACAGCTGTCCTCAAGCTTTCCGTGCAGCTAAGGAAGACACCTTCAGTTCCGATCCTCCCGCTTCCATCTCCAGAGTGCTGGGATTGTCTGTCCTGTGCTACCATAGCTGGTTTATGTAGTGTTGGGCATGCAATCCTAGGCTTGATGCAGGCTGGGCAGTCAGTCTACCGGCTGGGTTCCATACCCAGCCCAGAACTTTCTTTTATTTCAGTATTGACTTTTCCACCATGAGTAGCTTTCTAGAACAAAACACTGAAGGATGAGGTCACTGTTATGAGGTGAGATCATCTATTTTCATGTAGGAGCTGAGAAACCTGCCTTCTCTAAATATAACATTTGAAGCGGATTTTCCCCCCTGCATAGAATTAAAAATGAACAACTCCCGATGGCTGAGATAACACAAGACCTTGACTAATTCAGCTCTGAACCACTCAGAGTAAAGGAGCCAGGGTTGCTTTGATTTAGGAAATTTCCAGCCACGCTTTGCCCTGTGTGGTATCGATGTCAACCTAAGGCCGGCTCTGAGTTTCAGTGTCACCTCCCAACAGCAGTCAATTCTTCCCATGACTCCTGAGAGGGTCACAGGGCTGCTGGTGGCCTAGAAGTGGCCCCATGGAGAGGGAAGCGGCAAGGGCTCGTTGGCTGAGGCTTGTCTTTCTGAGCCAGGTTCTGCAGGAGGTGGCGGGATTGCTCTGTTGATTTGGGCATCGTGAGCATTCCTGGTGAAGGGACTGCAGACAGACGCAGGGGGCGACAGCTGAAGAGTCATCACTGTGTCCTCTGACAGGTCAGTCCCACCTCCTGAGCTGAAGACAGAGCCTGTTAGCGGGAGAACTTAATAACTCATTCCGAAAGGTGAGACAAAGCATGTGTGTAGCTGATTTACCACAGAATATGTAAACATGGACATGAATAAACTTGTACAGTTCCAAATGTCAGGGGAGCTAAGACGTCATTCAGTTTCTCTGTGACTGGATTGGATTTATTCAGAAGCCCTGACTCCTATTTACTGATAGAAAACTTCTCTTCTGATTGAAAATAGATCTGATTGCTTCTTGCTTAAAACTCGTGTTTTGTGAGTAAATTCTTAGTCAACTCAAATTTTCCCCCTGTGAGGAAGTCTCTCTCTCTCTCTCCCTTGTTTTTGTTTATTTTCTCTCACTCTCCTTCATTATTACTCTTGCATTCAGTCCACTCGATCAGTTTTTGGTGTTGTTCTTTTTTAAATTTTTAAGATAGGGTTTCTCTGCGTAACCCTGGTTATCCTGGCACTTGCTCTGTAGGCCGTGTGGGAATTCATCTGCTTCTGCCTCCTGAGTGCTGAGATCAAAGGTGTGCACCACCACTTCCCAGCTTCTATCAAAGATTTAACAACCACACACACACACACACACACACACACACACCACACACACACACACACACACACACACACACACCTTCTATTTAGTATGGAAAGAGGTCTTATATAATTTTATGTTCTTTAGAGTTTCTTAGTTGTGGCAAAACCAAATTTTACCTTTTAGTATTTCACTCTAGGTTGAACAACACTGACTGAAGTTGTATGACTTGGAATTAATTGTTCTACTTTGACAATACAACAGAAGTGTCCTAGAAATTGAACAATATGTTTACTTAGGACTTTGTCTCTCAGTAAATTTTGGGTCAGCATAGTTCATTTGGGCCAATCGATCCCTTGATTATGTTATGGTCAGAATCTGGTATTCTTACAGGCTCAGGATCAGAGCACTTGGTCCCCAGCTTGTGGTGATATTTTGAAGATTGTAGAGTCCTTAGGAAGTAGGGCCCACCTGATGGAAGTAGTTCACTGGGGACAGAGCAATGAGGTTACAGCCATTGCCCCTGTTCATGGCCTGTTTTCTTTGCTTCCTAGTTCATTCTAGGTGAACAGCAGGGATCTTATACTATGTAAATCTTTTCCAATAAAAAAAAATGAGATTCCCTGAACCAAAAAATAGATCTTTCCTCCAAGAAGCTGTTTCTATCAACTGTTTGGTTACAGTAAGGTAAAAGTAATTAATGCAGAAAATTGATGCCAGAAGTGACTCCTGTGAAAACCTACCTGGTTCCCTGGGGAAATATGACATCTGGAGCTGTGAACAAGCCCTGGGACACGGTAAGCAGAACTTAATGGGGAATCCTGGAGGGAATCTGAAAAATAAGAATGCCAAGAGAATCTGGGCAGTGGAAATGGTTTCTGATGTTCCAGATAGGAATAAAGACTTTATTGAAAGCTCGACAAGAAGAGTTGTATCACATTCTAGCAAAGAATACAGCAATGTTCTTCCCATGTCCTGATATTTTCATTGAAGCCAAATGCAAAAGTTTTGGGATAATTAATTTGACTGAAGAAATTTCATGAGTGTTGGTGGAGGCCGCTGGTTCATTCCCAGCTGCCCAGACTCAAAATAATCACACAGAAACTATATTATTGGCAATACTGTTTGGCCAACCCTTAAGCATATTTCTGTCTCACTCTTATATTGTTAAGTTAACCCATTTCTGTTAATCTGTGTAGCACTACATGGCTGTGGCTTACCGGCAAGGTTCTGGTGCATCTGTCTCTGGCCGAGTCTACATGGCTTCTCACTGACTCCGCCTTCTTCCTCCCAGCATTCAGTTCAGTCTTACCCACCTAGCTCTCTCTATTGTACCTTATCAAAGACCAAAGCAGCTTCTTTATTCATTAGCCAATAAAAGCAACACATATACAGAAGGACTTCCACATCACCTGAGAGCATAACACATGGGCTGTGGCATGATTATTACTTGCGGTTTTTAGGCAGATTTATAGAGAAAAGTAAAGGCAGAGAGCAGATAGATGTGAAAAACAAACACTTGAACAAGGAAAGTAGTGCAGGACTAGCAAGATGACCCGGAGTGAAAGTGCTCCCATGTAACCCTGATGACCCCAGTTTGATCCTCCATAACCCACATTTATAAAAAGCTATGATGTGGTCTGAAGGAGAGTGGCTGCCACAGGCTCATATATTTACATGTGTAGTCCCCAGGTGGTGAATTCTTTAGGAAGGATTAGAAGGGTTAGAAGGATTAAAAGGTGTGTCCTTGTTGGAGGAGGTGCTAATCAGATGTGGAACCAGCCCAAAAGAGAGAAATACATTGCAGTCAGCAAAGCTGAAAGAAAAGAACCATCTAAGTTATTTGTAACTGGACAGAAAGATACAGGATTTCAAGTTTACTATATTGTTTTTTTTTATTTTTTTATTTTTATTTTTATTGGTTTTTCGAGACAGGGTTTCTCTGTGATTTTGGAGCCTGTCCTGGAACTAGCTCTTGTAGACCAGGCTGGTCTCGAACTCACAGAGATCCGCCTGCCTCTGCCTCCTGAGTGCTAGGATTAAAGGTATGCGCCACCACCGCCCGGCCTTTATTGGTTTTTTTAATCTTGATTTGGTCCAGTATTTCCACATTATGCCCCCTTCATCCTTTTGGAATGGTAATGTATAGTCAATGCCATTGTGTGTTGGGAGTGTGTGATCTGCTTTTTTTATTTTGATTTTTCAGGAGATTAGAGTTAAGAGATTGCCTTTCATCTCAGAAAAGACTTTGGACTTTTAAGGAGTCTTGAGACTGTGAAAGGCTATGGGAACTTTGAAGTTGAACTGAATGTATTTTCACTATGATATGGCTACAAACCTAGAGGGGTCACGGTGTGGAGAATGGGGGTCAGATTGGAATGAAAATGGCCCCCAGGGGCTCATATAGTTACATGAGTGGTCCCTAGTTGGTGAACTATTTAGGAGGTATGGCCTTGTTGGAAGAAATGTGTCACTAGGGGTGGACTTTCAAAAGCCCAAGCCAGGCCTAGTGGCGCTCTCTCTCTCTCTCTCTCTCTCTCTCTCTCTCTCTCTCTCTCCCTCTCTCTCCCCCTGCTGCCTGTGAATCCACATATAGAATTCTCAGCTCCTTATCTAGCACCATGTCTGCCTGTATGCCACCATGCTCCCTATCATAAAGGTAAAAGACTACACCTCTGAAACTGGAAGACAGCCCCAAATAAATGCTTTCTTGTTTAAGAGTTGCCATGGTCATGGTATCTCTTCATAACAACAGAACACTGATGAAGACAGGTGTGCACCACCATCCTCTTTGCAATAGTTATTGGAAAGATTAGCATCATTTAAAAGTAGCTTTTCAAACCTTGTACTGATGTCATAGAAAAAGTGACTTGAGGATGAGCTCTTTCCTGCTAAAGGCTCCAGTAAGAAATAAAAAAGCCAAAGTGGCGCCCTGCTGGAAAGGGGCTGCTCAAGACAGCTCGGTTCAGCGGCTGGAGAGACTGCTCAGCAGAGGAAACCAGGTTCGATTCCCAGCACCCACAACCGTCTGTAATGCCAGGCACAGGAGATCTGATATCCTCGTCTGGTTTCTATGGACACCAGGCACACATGTGGTGCTCAGACCTATGTGCAGGCAAAGCACTGGTGTAGATCACCTTTGGAGCAGTTTGTAGTCTGTAGATGATTTCTGGATGGTGTCTACCAGCTGAGTGGCACTCTGCCGAGACAGATGTAAGCTAGGGACAGAAGTTAAAGAACTTAAAGGAAACATACCTGGAGTTTCCCCTCAGGAGGCTTAGGCTGTTGATTGACCGGAGTCCATTTGACCTGTGAGAGGTGGATCCAAATCTTAGGATTTCATTGACTAGATGAAGCTTACTTTATCATTGTTTATAATTTATATCAAAATCCACACTGTGGAAAAGTAGCTAACAGGTATATTTATAAGTGGTTGATTACTAAGAGCAGTCTTTGCAAAGCAAGTTTGGAAGTTACGTCTGAAACCTGTTGATCCTTTAATATGAAGCCTGTTAGCAAGGCAAATCTTCCACAGCTTGACTTTCAATCCTTCGGGGTCTTCATTCTTCATAGGCTTGTACCTCAGGTCAGTGATTACCTTAAGGGGATGCCACACAAGCAGGTGGTGTAGGAAAATGTGTGTGGCTGCCTTTCGCTTAGATCATTGTTTTTCTAGGCATAAGTGGCAAACACAAGGTAGAGAGTGTAAACCCAGGGAAAGGGTCTGTCTCTAGGTAATAGCACAGGTCGCAAGAGGGTTTCAGCTCGCACCTCTGTGCTTCCATTACACAGATTATGCAGCAGTGAGGACCAGGTTAACAAGTGCCCCAGCCCAGAAGCTTCTCCCTGTGTCACATGAACAGGGGCTAGCATGCTCTGGGGACCTGGCACTGCGCAGCTGGTATTTGGGAGAGGTGGATTTCGCATATATGAAAGGAAAATTTACTGAGGAGTGCACTCGTTTTCCCATATTAACTTGGGGCACTGTGACAACCTATGTTTCCTGAGTAGTGACCAATAGCAGTACTGTTTGCTTGGCTTTGCAGTTTCTACTTTCAGTATTCTGAATGTAGCATTTGTTGGGGTTTTTATGTAATAAATGTACAGAATTTTTTATTAAAACATTAGCCAAACAGTGACCTTGAAATAATTATTTTGGGGGACACTTGAAAATTCGATCCTGTGACATAGCTCAGTGGTCAGGCATGGATTTAATGAATTTAACATTCGCAAGACCCTGCTCAATATCTTGCATCATAAAAGTAAGTAAACATGAACTAATGTAACCAGGAGAATGCTTGTTATCCTAGCCACTTGGGAGGGTGGGATTGTTTAGGAGTTCAAGAGTAGTCTAGGCAACACAGAAAGAAACTTTGCCTTGAATAAAACAAAACCAGACATAGATCAGAAGTTCAAGGTCACTAAGAAGCGAGTTTGAGGCCAATGTGAGGTACATAAAACCATGTCTCCCCACCACCACCACCAAAGAAGAGCTTGCCCTGTGGAGGTATTTGTGAAGATTTTATAATTTAATGAAATCCTGTTACATAAAAAGTGTTCTCTTTGAGGAAACAGTTTGCAACTGAACCTCACGCAAAACTCTTTCTAAACTGACGCTGTATGCAGACCTTTCCCTTGAGTGCGTGGTGAAGTGGTTTATAGACGAGCTGGATCGAGTGTGGTGAACTGGTTTGTAGACGTGCTGGATCCGAGTGTGGTGCAGTGGTTTATAGACGTGCTGGGAAACTGGATCCTTTGCTCTCCATGAACTGCCATAGCATGCTGGAGATGAGACGTCCCAGCTTTCTCATCTGTCAGTCATAATTAGATTTTCCTCGTGGAGATTAAATGCAGATTCCCACAAGGCGTTCAGCATGGCACTTAGTAAACGGCTCCCAACTGGCAGGCTGTGTCTGCAGGCCCTCACAGTCCCCCACCTGCCATCTAACCTGGTCCACATGTGGGGGACATGTCTGAATGTGAGTCACCTCCCACTCCAGGGCACGAAGGGAAGGCCGAGAGCCATGAGCAAGACCATCAAACAATCTGCTCTTTCCAAGAAGGCCAGGCCATCCTAGATGGAATGTGATGGCCTTTGGGGCAAACTCCAGCACTGTCTGCCAATTTAATCTTGAAGGCTTCCTGCCTTTTGCAGTAAGTAGCTGGGAAAATATGCACCCTTCAATTTCTCTTCCCTTGAGAATAATATAAATCCCTCAAACTTGTGACCCTGCTATATTCCGTGTCTGATAAAAATGAAGAGGTTGAGATTGTTATGATTTTTATACATGTAACCTGTCTTGAGAAACAACCCCATGGCAGTTTATTCCCTATTCTACGCTAACTGGGGACAGAAACATTAGGGTTAGATAGGTGCTAAGACTATTAACAAAAGGCAGAAGTCTATCTTGCATTGAAATGGTTAGAGACTATAGAGATGACTCAACAGTAAGGAGTTCAGCTGCTCTTACAGAGGACCCAGGTTCAATTCCCAGCACCCACATGGGGGCTCACAACCATCTGTTAAGTCTGATTTCAGGGATCTGGCGCCCTCTTCTGGCCTCTATTGGTACTAGACATGAACATGTTGCTTAGACATATATACAGGCAAAACACCCATACACATAAATTTTTTTAATGTCAAAAGAAATGTTTAATTGTAATGGACTTGTAATTTAATTGTAATGTTTAATTTAATGCACTTAAAAATGGAAGATGGTCTAGGGGCATCCCAGAGACACTCAATGGTGGTTGTCTCAGACAATAAAAGCCAGTACTTTCTTGTTTCCAGACATTCCCTTTGGTTTCGAGCAGCTCATCAGCTCCACGGCAAAAGACAGAGTCAAAGAATCTCTTGGCCAGTTACACATCATCTTACAGGATGCTGTTGTCCTAAATCAGGGATGAATTTAAGAAGATAGAGATTATTTAAAACATACCCACCCTGCTAAATTTTTTGTATTAAAAAAGTACAATCTTGTAAAATAAGTACATCAAAGTCTACCTTTTAATTGCTTGGATATGAAAAACAGCACGCAGGACCCAGTGTAGAGGCACACGCTTTTAATCTCACACTTGAGAGGCAAAGGCAGGTGGATCTCTGTGGGTCTGAGGTCAGCCTGGACTACAGAGTGAGTTCTAGGCCAGCCAAGGCTGTGCAATGAGACTCCATCTCAAAAGAAAAGAAAAATCACAAACAAATATTATTTACTCTTCTTTTAGTTTGGACGCATTATGGGCTGCAGGTGCGTGAGGGTCTGCACGAAGGGCAGAAGTCAGTCTTAAATGTTCTGTAGTTACTATTCACCTTGGATTCTCTTGAGATGGGGTAGCTCACTGGCCTGAATCCTAAGTGGATTCACAAATTTAGTTAAGCGCAATGTCAGGCAAAAGCCAGTTGCTCAATAAGTGTTGGTTATTGTCCTTAGCAACGGAGTGATGTAGCGTCCTTTAGACTTATTCAAAGGAATAGAAAGTTAGCAGAAGAAGAAGAGTGATGTCCTGAGGGAGACAATGGTGGCACACCAAACGACAAATACATGTCATTGTCACCCAGCCCCGGAAGTGGTCAGCATGCTTGGCTCGCAGTTTTTCAGCATGATCACAAGAAAAATGCACTATGTGACGGTGTCCGGCACTGTGGTGGCACCCAGCACCATGGCGATGCCCAGCACCGTGGGGGCACCCTGCACCATGGCGGAGTCCAGCACCGTGGGGGCACCCTGCACCATGGCGATGCCCAGCACCGTGGGGGCACCCTGCACCATGGCGGAGTCCAGCACTCTTCCCATTGCCGTCCAGAAGCTCACCCCACAGGCTGTGCTTCTCCATCTTCAAGGCAATAGGAGACAGATGTTTGGAAAGTGAGAAGGCCAAGCTATGGTATTCCTCCTATCTGGTCTCAGTGTGGGTCCTGGGGCTTACTCCCAGCCAGCTGTGGAGTTATTGCTGTGGTTTGTGAGCTCCCCCACCTGCTATGCAGCCGGTTCTGTCTGCCTATTCTGCCAGAGAGGATAATTTGATTTCCTGCAGTTACTCTGTCTGGTAAAGGACAACACTCAACCTTCCCACCCTTGCAAGAAAAGAATCCTGGGGTATTTAGTGAGCGTTCCAGATGAACCACAAGACTGTGGTAGGCCCTGTGTATCCAACAAATGACTCCAGCGTCCCTGCCCTGGAGGAATTCGGTCTAGTTGAGAAGACAGACACACCAGTGAAGAATTTGAAAGAGTCACCCACAGCTCCTCCTGTTCTCAGTCTTTGAGCCTGAGTGAGTGGGAGCCTGGAAGGGAAGGTTTTTTTAAAGAGGTTGCAGTGTAATGAAGTTGAGAATACAGACACTGGGGGCTGGGGAGGTGGTTAAGCGGGTAAGTAGTCTGGCCATTACACCCCAAACTTCAGCAGACAACACAAGGCGCTCCTTTATTGAGCTGATTTAATATGCATAAAAAATCAACTACCAACAGAAGCTGGTCTTTCACCCCTCGTTAATGGACACTTAGCAGCAGCTAACCCATCCTCATAAAGTAGCAGGGAGGGTGTCTAGAGCTGGCGAGAGGCTGTAGTGATACGAATACCTGGGTTGACATGGCTTCCCCTCTCTCACACAGCACCAAGTTTCAACTGATTAAGGTATTTGGACCACAAATTCCACACAGGAAAAAGCAAATCAGAGTTCCAGGGCTCAGGGGAGAAGAATAGGTCAGAAAAGAAGGAAAAAATGGCAAGCTGATAAAGATGATAGGTGTGGGGGGTGTCCCCACCCCAGCAGCTGAGAAAGACCCGGAGCTACAGCTCATATGAGGGGGGGTCTCAAAGTACAGGTTTCAAAATGTTTGGGCCACCCAGTGCGGAGTTTGGGAAAAGATACTCTTAAGTAAGGTCACTGCGCAATTACTTTCCTCTCATTCTCTTGCTGGCAGAGCCCTCCTGGTGCCTCCTTAATGGCGGAGAGAAGCAGCAAGCTCCTGATAAGCATCAGCTCGCAGGGCCACTTGATGGAATTTTTATCTTGCAAAAAGTAGGTCCTGGATGATGAGTTGAGAGATTGCCAGGAATCCCTGGAATCTAATTAAATCTCAGTTGAAAACATAAAGGTTCCATTTTAGAGTCATGGGTGGGGGTTGTATTGAATCCTTTACTCTGGCAAATGTCTGAGTTGTTTAACAGTTATGCATTCTTAGCTTGCTGTCAATTAAATGCGGGGTTGGGAACCTGTGATGCGGTGGCTCAAGAGTGGTTTTGAGGGTATCTTAATTATTTTACACAATATTTTTTATTGTGTTCCAGATCCTCCCCACATCCCTACCCACCCAACTTCATGTTCTCTCTCTCTCAGAAAAACTGAACAACAACAAAACCCCCAGAGAATAAAATAAAATAAAAAAAAATTAAAAATAGGAAAGCATAAAAAGACCACTAAACAGGGGATTCATTGACCAGCTCCTCCTGATCATCATAGAGTCTGCGCTGAGGTGTAGTTGGTACACAGGGACATGCCACTGGAGAAAACTGGTTTTCACTTTTTCTTCCTTATCATTGCAGATAGCCCATGGCTCGTGTTTGGTTTAGACCTGGACTGATCTTGTATGTGCTGCTGTAATCTCTCGTGAGCATCAGTCCTGTTGTGTCTGGAAGATGTCTGTTTCCATGGCGTCATCCTCCACCTCCGGCTCTAACAACCTTCCCACTTCCTCTTCTGCTCAGACTCCTGAGCCCTGAGGGGAGGAGTTTAAGGAAGACATTCCATTTGGGACTGAGTGCTTGAATCTCTCTCTCTCTCTCTCTCTCTCTCTCTCTCTCTCTCTCCCCCCCCCCCCCCCCGCACACTGTCCAGTTGTGGGTCTCTGTTAATTACCATCTGCTGTAAGAAGATGTAAACAGAGGCGCACTTTTGTTCCCAGCTGCTCAGACCCGAATAATCACACAGAAGTTATATTAATTACAACACTGTTTGGCTGATGGCTCAGGCGTATTTCTAGCTAGCTCTTACACCTTAATTCAACCCATTTCTATTTCTGTGTATCACCATGAAGCTGTGGCTTACCAGTAAGGTTCTGGCACCTTTCTCCTTCAGCAGCTACATGGCATTTCCCTGACTCTGCCTCCTTTCCTTCTCTATCTCTGCTAGGATTTCCCACCTTGCTATATTCTGCCCTGCCATAGGCCAAAACAGCTTCTTTATTAACCAATGGTAATAAAACATATTCATAGCATACAGAGAGGAATCCCATATCATCAAGAAGCTTCCCTTGATAAAAGCTGAGTGATATACTGATCTATGGATATAGCAATATGCCATTAGGAGTCATTTTATTACTATGTTCTTTTATCAGAATAATAATAATAATAATAATAATAAGTTTTTCTCTAGGTCTCTAACCTATTAGTCTCAGGTTCTTGACTACTTAGCAGTGCCAGGTATGGGTTCCATTTCATGGAGTGGGCCTTAAATCCAACCAAAAAATGGTTGGTTATACCCATAATGTTTGTGTCACTATTGCACCAGGATACCCTGCAGACAGGATGCTATATAGGTTACAGGATTTGTAGCTGGGTAATCTTGGTTATTATTTTTCTCCTCTGGTAGTGTGTAGACTACCTTCCAATACCACAAACAGTAGTCAGTAGGGGATGAAGCTTCTAGTTGGGCACCAGGTTGGTTTTTCCATATTCTATGACATGAATAAGTGTTGTCTTCAGCAATATGGCCTTACCACCAGGTTGTGGAGATTAATCAATAACCCTGGCAATAACCTTTGGTATTTGAGGGAGGGGTTCTATGGCAATTTGGCCAATGACTCAACAAAATGTAACCCATTCCTTGCACCGGAGGGGGTTCTGCTCGATGGCATACCTCATTATATGGTGACTCCATTTAAATTCCTGTGTGTGTTGTGTAAGCTTCTATAGTACTGGGTTTCCATATGGTTTTGTAGTGTTAGTTGTGAAGGTAGTTTTTTTTTTTAGATTTATTTTGTTCGTATGTGTGTGTGTCTGTCTTTCTGTCTGTCTGTGTCTGTGTATGTCCATGTAGGATAGACACATATATAAAAATGTTTTTAGATGCCTGACAAGGGTATCAGATTTACTAGAGCTGAAGTCATAGGTGATTGTTTGCTTCCCGGCACCCATATCAGGAGGCTATCTCCAGCCCTCTACAGGAACAGCAAATGCTTTGAATCACTGAGCAAGCTCTGTAGCCCTTGGGTAGATTTTTCATTAAACACTTAGCAATTACTAAAGATTAAAAAAAAAACATGACTTCAATTTCATTCTGTGCCCCAGTTATCTAAAAAATAAATGTAATTATCCTTACCTCATGAGTTGTAAGAACTAAGCCAAATAAGAGGTTCCTGACCTTAGGAGAACTTCCAAGTTTGAATGTCTTTCTCCTCCCTCCTCTCGGTTACTACAGTTCCCAGCTCACCTTACCACTGCCATTCTCTGGACGGTCTCAAGGAAGCAGTGAGGCTAGTGTAAAGAAACCCGGAGTAGGCAATGTAGGAAAAGAGGTTACAGAGACAGAGAGACTGTGGTCAGCCTAGGAGGGAAGGGAAGATAAGTGTTTAAACCCAAAAGTTCAAGACCAACCTGGACTATACAGTGAAGTAAATTCATGAGCTTATAAGTGGATTAAGAACTACTAGATGGTTCTTTACTTATTTTAGATTTAAAAATATTTTTTAAAAAATTGAATTGCATGTATATTTGTCTGACTTTGCATGGGTATGTGCTCCTGAGTGCAGGTGTTTACAGGAATCAGAAGGTGTCAGATCCCCTGGTGCTGGAGTTACTGGCCAGTGTGAGCTGCCTGATTGTGGTGCTGGGAACCAAACTCTAGAAGAGCAGCGTGTACTCTCAAGCAATGTATTTCTCTGACTCCTAGGTGTTTTTTTCAAGACAGTGTGGGCATCTATTGGGTAAAAAAAGCTGCTGAGGTGGTATCTGTAAGAATCAGAGCTTGCCCTCTGCTTACCAGCCAGAGTAGTTACAGGGTAGAAAGGGCTACAGGAAGTGAGACTGAAAAGCTGCCCCCTTTTTCTGACCCAAGATTGACAGTTGCTCGGAGTGAACAAGTGTAGTGAGCAATGAGTAAAGGAATGTCACGTGACCAGTGACATCATCTCTGATGGTCAGCACTATCAGGGGTCTGCACGGCTGGGGTACAGCAGCAAGCTAGGCTTTAGTGCTGCAATAATTTATTACTATGGCTTTGGAAAATTGTTTCTGTTTATCCAAAATGGAACAACTTCTCAAAATAACATGGTCATGGCTAGCATTCTGTTTTTGTTTTTTTTTTGTTTGTTTGTTTGTTTTTGGTTTTTCGAGACAGGGTTTCTCTGTGGTTTTGGAGCCTGTCCTGGAACTAGCTCTTGTAAACCAGGCTGGTCTCGAACTCACAGAGATCCGCTTGCCTCTGCCTCCTGAGTGCTGGGATTAAAGGTGTGCGCCACCACCGCCCGGCATGGCTAGCATTCTGGACTTTAATTTCTATAGACAGATGGAGAAGGGGGCATGATGGACCAGTTAGCTCATCCCTCCTGGGTGAGGTTGACGTCCTCATTAGGGGGTTCTTACTATGGGGAATTGTGGAGGAGGAGGAAACTGTAAAGAAGCTGGTTTCTTCCTCAATGGTCTCCAAGCCTACCAATGTCTGTCTAGCTATCTAACATTCTCCCCCAAGTGCTGAGTATGAACATCAAGTCAGTCTGACTGCTTCTAATGACACTGGGGGTGTAGAGATGTTTAGGGTCTCTACTTGTATTGACTTTCAGGTCTTGGAGGGTGATCAAGGGGACTCATATAGAATCCGTTATGTCCACTGTCAACAGTAGCTAAGATTAAGACAGCAGTCGAGTACACAAGGTCCTTAGATTAATAACATCCACACTAAACATTATAATAGACTTAACACATTTTCATGATGAAGATCCAGAAGTTACAGTTTCTTAGCTGTCGAGCAATGACACGGTGGTGGCGTCTATAGTGTTTTAAATGAGAAAATCTCCTCATAGGCTCAGATGTTTGAACACTTGTTCTCCATTCAGTGGTGCTTGTTGGGAAGATTTATGAGGTACAGCCTTGCTGAAGAAAGTGTATCCCTGCACTGTAAAAACCTTGTGCTTCCAGTTCTCTCTCTCTCTCTCTCTCTCTCTCTCTCTCTCTCTCTGTCTCTCTGTCTGTCTCTCTCTCTCTCTCTCTGTCTCTCTCTCTCTCTCTCTCTCTCTCTCTCTCTCTCTCTCTCTTCTTTGTGCTTGTGCCTTGAAGATGTGAGCTCTCAGCTTCCCTCTCTGGCCATTTTACCTGCTTCCCAGCAGCCGTGCTGTCCCCACCATTGTGAACACTCACCCTCTGGAACCCTAAGCCAAACAAACTCTCTTCTACGATTGCCCTTGACCATAGCATTTTCTCACAGCAACACAAAAGGAACTGAATAATGCAGCACTGGCTTGACTTGTAGATGTTGTAAAGAAAAGGAAATTTAAGCAGGATTATCAGGAATAAAATACACAAACAACAATATGCTATGGTTCGGAAAAGGATGAGTCCTTTGAGTACAGCTGGAGTGGCTGTAATTGCTCTATTTACCTAGTAATCTGTATGGAGGATCATAAAGACCGGCCCGTTATTTGCTTTATATTATCAATTATTAAAATTTTAGATATATTATCCCACTAGGTATTTAAGACCATGTAGGCAAAACTGATCACTTTTTTTTTCTGTTCTAGCCAGTTGAGGTTCTGGCATCAGGGGTCACCTGTGATCAGCGGGAACCTCTGGCTCCTTTGGCCTCCCTTACCAGTTTTCCATCAGTGTGAGGATAAATCAAAGGCCTTGCTTGACCAGTGTAGCATGAATAATAAAAACCCAGAGATAGAAATTGGAGTTCAACCTGAAAACAAGAAAAGCAAAGCAGTTCAGTCACTAGACAGAAGTCTTACCTCTATCAAGGCTGGGCGACTGCAGACTAAGCAGACCAAGCTGACCGTGCCTCCCTTTCCTTCCATTTTATAGTCCCTCTAGTGCTAGGATTAAAGGTGTATGACTCTCTAGTCCTGGGATTAAAGGTATGAGCCATCGCCACCTGGATTTGTTTCAGCATTGATATTGTGTAGCCCAGGGTGACCTTGAACTCATGGAGAGCCATCTGCCTCTACCTTCCAAATCCTGGGATTAAAGGTGTTTGCCACCACTGCCTCACCTTTAGCTTAGCTTTGCCCTTCTGATCTGTAGGAAAACTTTATTTATTAAAACATAAATAAAATATCACTATATTTCCCCTTTTGTCTAAAATAAAAAGAGAAGACTCTAATATAAGAAAAACTATATACAGTAAGTACAATAACTATATATAATATATACAGGCAATAAATACATCAACATTGACTAGTCCATTTGCATTTGACAAATTCAGAAAAAAATGCTCCATTTTTATCCTATCTTGGTGAGTCCAACATCTTGTACCTAATTTACTTCCTATCATAACTTGCTTTCTGCATCAGGTAAACAAGGAAAACTATAACTATCTAGTCTTCAACTCCCTCAGAGGCCCAAGAAGGAAATAATATTAACTGAGTAATCAGGAAGTGCAAGCAAGCAATTTCCAAAAAACTGAGCGTAATGATAGAAACAGCTGACTGCCTAGACAGTCACCCAGAGTTCCTCTGCAACATTGGGGCACCCATCTTCGGCCTACAGGCCTAGAATAGCAGACAGACCGTTCTGTGAAGCAGGGTATTCTGAAGGGCTGTCTCTCCTTGTCTTGACAGT